AAACTAAAATTTAGTCTATTACATACATAATATTTCAAATATGCACTATAATTATAATATTTATACAATGTATAACCCTGCCAAAAATTGTGAAATCCAAAAGAAACTCTTAGAAATAAATCCTTTACCCACTTCTATATAAGTATGTATAAATATTAATACAATTTGCGCGTAATCTGACCTGAGCGTACAGGTTTTTGTTTGATAGGATTTTTTACTGGATAACAGATAATTGAGATCTAAAAATACGAAAATCTGTATTATGATTGATCTTAATTTTGCCATGTGATATACATTTTCATATTTTTTCCATACTAACTTAATACCTGTATATATGTATAATAACATTTATATGTAATAATTTTTTAGAACTGTCAGTAATTTATCCGATTGCGATAAAGCTGCTGGAAGCGCACAAGAAGATGACGATTGTTTGCTACTATCAACTTCAACAAAAGAGTACATGTGAAAATAGACCGTTGTCTTCAACTTCACCAGGAAACAGCATATGTGAACCGTTGTCAGGAGCTTTACGTCGGCCGTCACAAACTTCGACACCCAAAACAACTTGTAAGAAAAAGCTTTATTGCATTTTCTTAAAGAAATGTAACATAATCGATGTAGTTACGTAGTCGATAATTCTTGACTCTAATTTTATCTTCTAATTAACTTTTGAAAAATATTGTGGAATACTATAATATTTCCTGCTAGCAAAACTTCTGACAAAGTCCTGAAATTTAATAGTTTTCAGAGACATTAGGAAAGCAGGTTTATTGACTATAATTATGACTATATAGTCTCTGATTTCCTTTTACTACTTTATTAAACTCTATTATTGCAGCGAAAGCATATAGTGACTCTTTGATGCCATCAGAACTACGTGACGATCTTAAAAAAGTTCTAAATACTCCAGTTCCACAAAAAGATGCCATTGATCATTTTGTTCTTTGTTTATCAGACGGGATGCGAAAGCTATCTCGTAAAAAATCTCGTTTATTGCAAATAGCAATTCTGCAGCTTCTTGCAGATGCAGAGGAAGAGGAAGCCAAAGAAAATAATTTTTAGTTTATTTTTATACAATATTTAATAACTTGTATAATTAGTATTTTATATCCGTGTTTATTTATTTTAATATTGAATGCTATTTGAATGGTTTTTTTAGTTTATCAAAAATTCAATATTAAATGTTTTTTTTTTTAGTTTATCTTAAAGTCAATATTGAATGTTTTTTTCTTTTAGTTTATCATAAAGTCAATATTGAATGTTATTTAAACGTTTTTTTTAATTTATTAAAAATTTTAATACTTTTAATATATCTTTGTATGTATATAGAATAGATACATTTTGGTAGACAATACATACACTTAATTAGATACAGAATGTTAATAAAAATTACATATTTAACAACGGTTACAAGAAATGTCGATATATACTACAGCAAAGTGTAATTGGTGTATCAAATACAATAATTAATACAAATTTGATTATTCTGTTTGAAAAATATATTTCATTTTTTCATGAAATGTACAGTCTATATAGCATACTTCTTTTTTGTGTGGAATGAATAAAAAAACATTTATTTTGTACTTCTTGGTTTTTTAAAAATTATTCTGCAAAACCTTCTCCCATTGCCATGGAACCGCACCAGTAGTTTCAAAAAATGTTGCAAAATCATCTCTTATTTGAGCACTACTCTCCGTCGGTCTACTTCTGTCGAACGTCCCTGCATCTTCCAGACCCGTGCCACGCAATTCCCGTTCATGTACATTTAATGTCGCATACCTTCTTTGTGTGTGCGGTAGCTTAAGTTCTTCTGATATTATGAAATTATGTAGACACGTAGCTGCTTTGATTATTCTAGTGGCAGTACGTACGCTGGCAATGATCGGTTTGCGAAATATTCGCATTCTCGCAGAAAGTATCCCAAATACACTTTCCACAATTCTGCGAGCTCGACTTAAACGATAGTTGAATACGTTTTTACGTCTATTAAGCCTACCACTTCTAGGATATGGCCTCAGCATGTATCGCGTTAACGGAAATGCTTCATCACCGATTAGAACAAATGGTAAAGCCTGGCCACCATGTTCCACAGGTCTCGGCGAAGGAATTGACAGCATACCGTTTTGTAATCGCTTGCCGATCTCGCTAGCATTAAATACTCCACCGTCATTACGCCTTCCTGGCGCACCAATGTCCAGTAATGAGATCCGATAATTAGCATCAGCAACAGCCATTAACACCAAACTGTGAGTACCTTTGTAATTATAATACATCGAACCACTATTCGGAGGTGCCTGTATACATACAGCGTCATGGAAAAGTAAAAAAGTTTATTACATGATCTACTCTAATTTGTATATATATATATATATATA